ATTCCTGCTTCAAACATAAATTTTGCTCCAATATGTACAAGCTATAATAAATGTCAAAAAAGAGTGGTAAATTGATGACTTGTATTAACTTTATAGTAATATAAACACATCCAACTTATTGGAAAAAGCAGGATTTGGGAGATATGTACAGTAAGATAACATTTTAAACATTATTTGGTAGAATGAAAACACACAATGCTTACAAACACGGGAAGAGTTAAATTTGTTTTTCTTTTTTTGGAGAGGTCATTTTTTTTTTTTTTTTCTCTAGGGGGCGTGGGCTGGCCAGAAAGCACGCAGAGAGACAGAAAGCAAGAAATCACCCACCCACGGGGGATGGCCACACCGCAATCCTTTCTCCTCCATTCGCCTCTCAGGATCTTGGGGACCCACACACATGCACCCGGCGTGAGTTTAAGCCACCAGATCTGGGACTCAAACCGCCAACTGCTAGTCCCAGAAGGAATTAAATATTAATCAACTCCAAGCATGGAACTATTAAGAGTAGCACAATTATAAAACTAAAATGGTGGTTATTTCTGTACTGATGCTAATTCTAGACTCATAAATTAGAATAACTCGAGACTCAAATTTTAAGAATTAAAATGTGCAAATGAACTTTAACACTCACGTATCTTCCGAACACCAAAGATGCCAGAAAGTCAGACAAAGCATAACATCCAAAGATCATACCAATAACGGTATTGCTGGCTCCCTTCTTCTCAGCCTTTAAAGAAACAGCAATGGCAACAAAGTTCAAAAGACAAATTAGCATCAGAATGGGAAGAATGACAGATTTCAGCTTCATCTTGGGACCTTTATACATATCGCAACTTTAAAGATCATTATTTGAAAATAAATGGGATAGGAATGGAAGGAAAACTAGTTTAGAGAGTAAAATCTAGTCTGAAATGTGAAAGTAATTCACTCTTCAAGTGACTCGTTATTTTTTTTTTTTTTTGGAGAGATTTTCACTGTAGGGCGCGTGCGCTCGCCAGACAGACAGAGAGAGACAGAGAGACAGAAAGCGAGAAATCACCCCCCAAGGGGGGTGGCCACATCGCAATCCCTTCTCCTCCATTCTCCTCTCTGGATCTTGGGCACGCACACACACACACACGCCTGGCGTGAGTTTAAGCCGCCAGGTCTGGGACTCAAACCGTGGTCGTCGGCTCCATGGCAGTCCAGCGACATAGTCATTACTTTAACTGCTGGTCCCGTGACTTGTTATTGATAGCTTTAGCTGGCAAAAATCAGAATGAGAGGGCATAAACAAAATAAAAAGCCTTGGATGACAAAATTTGAACTCTACTTTGGTCACAGGACTGAGGAAACGGCTGATTTAGACACACTTCCTTTTTGGTATCACATTTAGTTTTAGAACTGTACTCCATGAAAAACAAACAAAAAACACTTGTGATCAAAACACTTAAGAATAGGAAGTTCTGTGAGCTGGCACGTCGGTCATACTAAGGCCCACTCAGTCTGGTTCTCTGTTTCTGGTATTAATAGCAATTATCTGACAGTTTGGAAAAGACAGTTGTTCCTCCTGACATCAAAACAAAGGTATTCCCCTGACATTCTACATTCTCCTGAAACATTTGGGGAGGTTTGTCATCTACCAATTATCCTTATTCATCTTTACACCTATGCTATTTGTGAACACTGAAATTTGCACAGACAATACAGTCTCTATCCTAAATCTACTTCTTTTGAACTTCAAATGCTATTATCATGATGTGCAGCTGAATTCACATACGAACACAGAGGGAAGGTTTAAAAATCTTTTTGCAAGGGGGCAGCAAGTGGTGTGGTAGTTAAGGTGCTGGACTCCCTCATGGTTGAATGCAGTTCAAGTCCTGGACCTGGTGGCTTTCTCTCTCTCTCTCATGAGTGCACTTATCCTGTAGCAAATTTTTAAAAAGTAATAAATAATGCCAAATAAAACTAATTAATTTAAAAACACTTTTCAAATCTCAAAAACGTGGAAGATTCTTATATCAGATTCCAGCTTTAGCAATTTGTTTTTATAATTATTATTTTTATTTATTTATTATTATTATTATTTTCACATGCGTTTTGCCAGAGAAAGACATAAAGAGAAAGAGAGAGAGTGAGAGGGAGAGGGAGAGTGAGAAAGCAAGCCACCAGGTCCAGGACTTGAACCATGGTTGGCCATGTGGCAATTCCAGCGCCTTAACCACCACCCCACCTGCCGGTCCCTCTAGCTTTAGCAATTTAAGGAGCTAAAATAGGAGTTGAATTTCTTCAAGATAGCATTGGCAATGTAGCACACTAGGAAGCTCAAAGACTAAACTACATGACTCTCCATCCTCTCGTAGTCAGGAATCATTTGCTGAGCAGTTTTCTTGTGCCAGGCATTGTACCAGCAATACATACTTGCAGTTAGAAGAGTCTGACTTAGAAATGCACACACATGCATGCGCACATGCATACTCCTACACCAGTCGAAATCCATTCTCTACCATCACAATTGAAGTTATTTACGTTTTCTCACTACAATTTTAAGATAAAAATTTTCCACATTCCTTTCCATGTAAAGATAGTATCATTCAGGGCCAGCAGACAGCATAGCGGTTACATTGCTGGACTCCTAAATGGCCAACCGTGGTTTGAGTCCCAGACCCAGGGATTTGAAACTCACACTAGACGTGTGTGCATGTGTGCCCAAAATCCCACCAGAGAGGAGAATGGAGGAGAAGGGACTGCAATGTGTTCATCCTCCCAGGTGGTGATTTCTCACTGTCTTTCTGATGAGCACACACACCCTATAGCAAGAATCTCTCCCCCCAAAAAAGATATCATTTAAGCCTTGTCTTTTCCAAGGATGTTCTTTCCATGTCAGACTATGCTCTTTAAACAAACCCTACACTTCTCCTATCATCATACCACAGAAAACTGGAGAGGCGAACTCGACTGTTGTATACTAAACTTTAGAAAGTGTCCCTTACTCTAGGAAGTGGGTCCCTGAGCATCTGGTGGTGGGTGAGAGCAGAGAGGACAAGCCCAAGGCACTCCGGCCATTGCTGAGGCAGGAGTTAAGGCCCATAATTCCACGGGACCTACAGTTGCCCACCCCTTCTGTGTACTAATAACCACGAGAAAGATGCCTTTAGTGGCAACCTAGAGAAAAGTTGTGCAGTGTGTAGACTAGAACATGAAGCCTCCATTGCTGCTACACAAAGCTCTGGTTCCTCAAGAGGAAGGTATGTCAAAGGAGCCACTTATGCTACAAGAAGAACATTCTTTGGTCAAATTACAGTATCTGTGGACTTTGTTTAATTGATCCAATAAGTATTTCATTCTACAATGCGGTAGAAAATACATAATGGTTAAACCAATTAATATCTACCGGACCCTCACTGTGAGCCAGAACGGCTAGTAAGTGCTGTTTTAGATGCTTTCTAATACCAATTAAATAATAGGTATACAAGGGGGCTTCGAAAAGTTTATAGAAAAAGTGGAATAAAAATACAAGTTTATTGGGAACCAGCAGTTAGTTAGCGTAATGGCTATGTTGCTGGACTCCCACGTAGTCAACCGCGGTTTGCATCCCGAACCTGGTGGCTTAAAACTCACGCCGGGCGCGTGTGTGTGCGTGCCCAAGATCCCGAGAGGAGAATGGAGGAGAAGGGATTATGGCGTGACCATCCCCCCTGGAGGGGTGATTTCTTGCTTTCTGTCTCTATGTCTCTCTCTGTCTGTCTGGTGAGCACACGCGCCCTATAGCGAAAACCTCTCAAAAAAAAAAATTAAAATATAAGTTTATTTAGTACAAGAAATTAAAATCATGCACATTTGGGACCAGCAGATGGCGGAATGGTTACACCGATGGACCCCCATGTAGTTGACCATGGTTTGAGTGCTGGACATGACAGATTGAAACTCAACACCAGGCACTTGTGCGTGCCCAAGATTCCAAAAGGAGAATGTAGGACAAGGGACTGCAGTGTGGCCATCCCCCCGAGGGGTGACTTCTCACTTTCTGTCTCTCTCTCTTTCTCTGTCTCTCTGGCAAACATACACACCCTATTGCAAATAGCTCTCTAAAAAAAATCATGCACATTTTTTCAAATATACATTTTTCCTTTTTTTAAATAATTATTTATTTAATTTTATGTATTCATTCATTTATTTTAATTTGACCAGAGAAAGATACACAGAGAGAGAGAGAGAGGGGAAGTGAGAAAGCAAGCCACCAGGTCCAGTATTCGAACTGCAGTCGGCCATGTGGGGGTGTCCAGCGCCTTAACCACCACATCACCTGCTGATCCCCTCAAATATGCATTTTTCTTAAACTTTCTAAGACCCTTCCTATTGTTAGCTGGCCCCACTTATAGATGAGGACACAGACTTGCAAAGTTTACACAGTCACGGAGCCACTACAGTTTCCTTCATGTGTATGTTCCCACAGTCGCCATGGCACAGGACGGCCGAGAACCATATGCCCTGGCAGCAGCCAAATACCACTGTTGGAACGTGGATCTCGTTTCACAATGGGAAGGCAAGAACAGCGACTGAAAGGCATTTCTGGTTCATAGGTAATCCTTTGACAAAGGAGGGTATGAGAAAAATGAAGACTAGAAGTTGAACTCCTGCACCAGAATTTACAAAGAAGGCCCCTATTTTTCCTTCACCCAATTCTCTCTGGCTAATAGGAAGGATGACAGACATGCAGAAGCAAGGGTGAGCTTTTATCAATACATTTCTCAACCATAAGATTTTAATAACAAACGAAAAGGAAGAGCCCGTTCTCCCTTCCTACAGCTTTTAAAGTTAGAATGTGACTTAGTCCACCTTTGCATCCTTTCCTCCAGCCTTCCCTCCTGTGAACAAAACACTTCATTAAAAACTTTACAAATACATACCAATGGCCTAGTTCTCCTTTGTCCCAAATCTAGTTGGATAAAACTAACATTATGTTCACTGAGTTCCAGATGAGATGGAAAATGCATGCCCTTCCAATTGGTTGTACCACTTCCGCCAATTCTTCTCTACCTTTTATTTTTTTAGAGAGAGAGATTTTTTTCTGTAGGGTACATGCACTTGTGGAGAGACAGAGAGAGAGAGAGAGAGAGAGAGGGAGAGAGAGAAAGTGAGAAATCACCCCCTAGAACGGATGGCCACACCACAATCCTTTCTCCTCCATTTTCCTCTTGAGATTTCAGGCACACACACACACATGCACCTGGCATCAGTTTCAAACAGTCTGGGTCCAGGCCTGGAGCCATGGTTGGCCATGTGGGAATCTGGCGCCTTAACCACCATGCCACCTGCTGACCCCAATTCTTCTCTATCTTAATTCCACAAGCTACCATCATTATCTGTTCATGAAACCCAAACCTGGTTAAGCTACTCTGTTTTACCCAAACACTTCTGACTTCCCACTAAGTCTGTAGATGTACTCAACTACCATAGTGGTTTAGATCCAGCCTGCCTTCTGGACCTCTCTCCATGCTAGGCTCAAGCCCTCCAAGCTGTCTGCTATTCCCCAAGAACATATCCTTTCTCAAGAACCATCCTAGATGTATCTTGTGATGTCCCTGTGAGTACCACCCCTTCTTCCTCTGCCAAAGAATGGCAGAATTAGTCATGCCTCTTTTTATTTTATTTATTTATTAGTTTGCTATAGTCACCAGAGAGAGACAGAGAGAGGGAGAGAGGGAGAGAAAGCAAGCCATCAAGCTCAGAACTCGAACCATGGTCAGCCACGTGGGAGTCCATTACTCCAACCACCATGCCACCTGCAGGTCTCCACTCCTCTTTTTAGAAAATTCTTCACATCCTCTTCTTAAAGGCTACCCAAGTAGTCTGAAACATTTTTTCATAATTTTTCATTCCCAAAGGACAGACAATAGGTAGACCTATCCCTGATCTTTTTCCTATCCTAGCACGTTCAATGCCTGGCACATTCTAAGTGGGACCTGGTTCAACCTCTAGTGAGTAGAACTAAACCGGGAAAGTCTTTAACACTGAGGCTATTTCTTCATTTGCAATATGACGAAGATTCTCACTATTCTACTACTTTACGGGGTGGCTGCTAGGAGCAAAGGGACAAATGTGTGGGAGTGCCGATTAAAAACGAGAGCGTGCCGTATGGGCACAGAGCCGTATTGTTCCTTCGACAGAGAAGTCACTTATCCTCTTTTGTAGCACACAGGAAAAACGGCTACATGTTGTAGAAGCAGTCAGAGGACTAATGCTCCCAGTGCATTGTGAGCCCAGGCTTTGGCAAAGAGCACAAAATAAAATACACAGACATATTGTGTCTACTCACCCAAACCAGTCCCATTCGTTTCATTCTAGAGCTCGTTGACCTCCAGATTCTAGGTAGACTGTCTCAGCATTACTCTCTGAGTCTATGCTACCATCTATGTTAGCATCTATAGATGCTAATACCACGTCAAAGGCTGTGATTAGGGCCGGCTCCATGCCTGGTGGATAAAGCAGCCAGATCCCACGTGCCAACCACATGGTTCAAGTTCCAAATCCAGTATCTTGAAAAACATGCTTGGTGCATGTGCATGAGTGTCAAAACCCCAAAAGAAGGGAGAGATCAAAGAAAAGGGATTGCAATGTGACCATGCCCTGGGAGTAAAGATGGGGTTACATATCCCCTTTCTCTCTCTTTGGTAAGGTCATAAGCCCTTGCTTAGGGGGAGAGGGAAGCTATGGTTAGAGGGAACTAGGCAATATTAATCAGAATATCTCCTTTGTGCAAACATTGTTGCTAGAACACATAAGATTCAAGTCAGTCACAGCCATGGTGGTGCGCACTGCTAAAATTCTGTGGCTCCGTAGGCTGAAGCCATACAGAAGACCCTGGTTCTGCTGGCCTAACCTTCAGGCTGAACATGGTAGCATGTTCTATAATCTCAGCTACTCAGGAAACAGAGACGCCCCAAAAACCGGAGGCCCTCTTATAAAAAAAAAAAAAAAAAAAAAAAAAAAAAAAAAAAAAAGAGGAAAAGAAACTCAAGTCAGAAGAAAAGGGAATTCAGTCCTATAACTTTCTTTTTTTTTTTTTTTTCCTTTTTTTTTAGAGGTTTTTGCTATAGGGCGTGTGCGCTCGCCAGACAGAAAGAGAGAGACAGAAAGCGAGAAATCACGCCCCAGGGGGTGGCCACACCGCAAATCCCTTCTCCAGTCTCCTGTCGGGATCTTGGGCACGCACACACGCTCGGCGTGAGTTTTAAGCCACCGGGTCCAGGACGTGAACTGAGGTCGACTACGTGAGAGTCCAGCGACATAGCCATTACGCTAACTGCTGGTCCCCAGTCCTATAACTTTCTAATTACAAAATACAAATGAATCCCAAACTCCAGAAGACAGTTACTGTCTTTTTAAAAATTATTTATTTTAATATTATTATTATTATTTTCCAGTTTGCTACAGAGCATCTGCACTCGCCAGAGAGCTACGGGGGCGGGGGGGTGGGATGTGAGAAAGCAAGCTACTAGGTGCAGGACTCAGTTAGCCATGTGGGAGTCCAGTGACTTAACCATCATGCCACCTGCTGGCCCCTGACATATATTATTTTAACATATCCTTTTGGGGTAACCTTTAAACATCAGTAATTCAGTGCAGAGCCCCCGCCCCCCTTCGATTGCAGAAAACACAGAATAATTAAACTACATGGTAAGCAAATAATCCTCAGAGGGTCGAGTATATCCAAGTGAGTCACCTCCCAAGAGGATAATCCTTTTAACTGGGTTTTTTTTTTCTGGTAGCAAACAATATAAGTATTCTGTTGGCTGAAGCTGTACACATCATCTGTATTATATGCAAATTTTTATATTTTATATACTATTGAGAAATGAAAAAAATCAGAATTCATAAAAATCTAAAGATGTCTTACTTCTTTGGGGAAAAAGGGTCCAAGGATAGAATAACACATCATGGAACCCAAGTTCATGGAAGCTGCTGACACCAGTACAAAAAGCTGTTCTTTTGAAAGTCGTCTGGACGTCTCACTTGCATTTCCTGCAGAGTCCTCACCTTAAATGCAAACATGCTGTGATTAAAGACATGTAACTGGGTCTACTGATCGAAGTACACAAGTGTCATTCTGTGCACAGACAATGCACTCTGAAGATAACATCTGCCACAGTAAGGACCATCTTTGATCAAATGGAGTATAATTCTCGTATATTAATGCAATTTTGAAAACATACTCCATTCATGACATATTATTTTCTATTAAAACATCAATGCAGAAACTGTCAAGCCATCTGATCTGTTTCACCTTCACATTAAGCCGATTTCTCTGGCCTTTAACAAGAGAAATAGGATGATACAGCAGGGTATTATTGTTCTCTGAAGTACAGATGTTCCCAGCTTGTGATGGTTTGAGTCATAATTTTTTAACTTTACAATGGTATGAAAGCAACACCCATTTGGTAGAAACAGTACTCTTTTGAACTTTGATCTTTTCTGAGCTACCCTGATACTGTATGACCGGTTCAACCCCTGGGCCATGGACCAGTTACAGGTCAGTGGCCTATTAGGAACCGGGCTGCACAGCAGGAGGTGAAACAGTAGGTGAACAAGCAAAGCTTCATCTGCATTTACAGCCACTCCCCATTGCTCTTATTACCCCAGCTCTGCCTCTTGTCAGGTCAGTCTTACATTCGTGTAAGAGTCCACAGACAGGACTATCTAACTACTCAGGGCTCCCACTGATTCATTATGTTCAGTTGTTTAGTTATTTCATTATTTATTACAATATAATAATAGAAATAAAATGCATAATAAATGTAATGCCGTTCGTTGAATCATCCCCCACTCCTGGGGTCCATAGAAAAATTATCTTCCAAGAAACCAGACCCGATGCCAAAAAGGCTGGGGACAGCTGCTGGGCAGCCATACCACCATAAAGTAAACAGCCAATACTCTACAGTGTACTGTGTAGCCAGGATTTTTCAGATTGTGCTTTATGCTCCCATTCTATCGTGTCTGTACAATGCCCATTTCAGCTTAGCATACTTTCAACTTATGATGGTTTTTTTGGGGACATAACCTCAACCACAGTCGAGGATCACCTGTTTAATATCCTTTCTCTTCTGTGGTTACTAGTTTCATAGCAGACTCAATCATGTTTTAAGCATGTAATGTTTCCTGTTAAGAATTCCAAGGCAGCACTGAAGTGTAAGTGAAATGTAAGGAGAAAACTAAATCATTCCATTGATGAATTAATACTTAGAATAGAATGCCTCTGAAAACACAAGTCCCAAAAACTTCTATATTAATACTTTTTGGAAAAATTAATTACTGATCTTTTGCATCATTTAATTTAACACTTATTCCCAGGGCTAAATTTTCATTTAACTTAAAGACACCAATTTATTTACTCAGTTTCTAATATCCAAGCAAATCAAATAGCCATTCCTAACGGTTTTCAGAGGAAAAAAAAAGTTAAAGAAAGTATAATTTGCTATTTTTGAGAGGTTGCCATTCCAGAAAAATAAATCTGTGCAACATGAGGAAGTCTTAAGAATCTTCAGAAAAATGTTAGCGTAGACAAGAAAGGGAAATTGGAGACCGCTAAAACGGTAATGTTTTAGGTCTAAGCGCATACGTACGTAATTGAATGCTTTCTTAAACTTAAAAAGCAGAGCTATAAAGAAGAATGTCAATAAAGACTGTGCCATATCCAGTCCCCAAACTTCATCCTTTCCGGAGAAAAAAGAAATGCTATTTCAAACCTCATGGTCAGGCCATAGCCTTTTCGAATCTCTCAGACACAAACCAAGCTAATGCCAATTCAATCGCTGCTAAAGAACAGGCCTAAAGGCACCGTGCCGCCCAGACACGCTGCTCCGTCACCTCCGGGTGGGCGTGGGCCCTCGGGGTCCCCCGGCGTTTCCATGTGCGGTGCGTGGACTCCAACGCCCTCGGACTCCACCTTCAGCAAACGGACGAGGGGGCCAGCGGGCCAGCGGACCAGTGGACTGGCAGGCGGCTACTGCTCAGCCGGGTCCCGGCATTCCGGATTTCCCAAGGGCAGCGATCTGCTTGCAGCTCCACACTGCTTTGGAGGCCCGTAGGCTCCCGAGGAGGCGGGGCGAGGGCGGGGGCGTGGCGGGGCGTGGTTTGAAAGCAGGTCTTTTTTCCTCCCCTGTTATCTAACCGACCACCTCAGCTGCTATAACTCAGGCTGTTCTCTATCATTCTGTGTAGAAGAAAAAAGGAAAAAAAGAAAAAGAAAAATTAATATTTCACATATCTGGGCCCCCTGTTACCTTAAAATGAATACAACTTATTCCTACTAAAAGTAAGAAAGGAAACTTACGTATTCACAGAAAAGGCAAGAAGTATCCCTACTGACAGATCTGACAGTGAGTTAAAAATTAGGCTTGTCCCGAATATATTTACGAGTGTGCGTTTTCACAATGAGAAATGAAACAGTTTGTAATCACCGAACGCAGATACTAGTAAACTAGAAATGAGTTAACCATGCTAAGCCCCTGGAGTAGAAAACTGTTTGCTGGTCAGAGAGTGGGGTGGTGGTTAAGGCAGCTGGATCCCACGTGGCCCACCACACAGTTTGAACCCCTAATCCAGCAGCTGGAAAGATATGCGAGAGTGTGCGCATGCATGCTCAAAATCTAGAGAAGAGAATGGAGAAGGTATTACAGTGTGCTCATCCCCCAAGGAATGTTTTCTCACTTTCTCTCTTTCTGTATCTCTGGCTAGTGTGTACATCCTACAACAAAGAAACAAATGTTTGCAGTAATGAGAATGAATGTTGAGAAGACACGGGCAAGTGGCTAGGAGTATAAGCTTTGCAGGCAGACGCCTGGGTTTCTACTCCGAGCACTTATTAACCATGGGTGACTTTGGACTATGGGATCAGTTTCTCCATCTGTACAGCCAGGATTATAATGGTTATCTTGTAGGGCTGCTGTGAGCATTAATGATAAGGTGTAAGTGCCTGGTACCTGCCTGACCCTGGTATGATGACTATCTTACTCTCACACTCT